GGCGCCGCCACCGCGGGGAGGGGGACGGGAGCGAGAGGTCACCGCCGAGCGGGGAGGACCATAGAGCGGCCGCGGCCGCAGCCGCACAGTTCTCGGGCCGAGCCCCTCGAGGGAAAGCCCAAGTCCCCCGGGCCTCGATGGAGTCCCCTCATCCCTGCTCTCCCCACCTTCCTTCCCAGCAACTCCACACAGCGCTCCAGAAGCCCTCCCCACAGACTCCCAATCCCAGAGGACGCGTCCCTGTTTCCTCCTGCGCCCGGCCTGGCCCTCCCCGCTGGGGTAGGAGGGGGCTGCCAGGAGGGGAGGGGAGGCTGGAGGTCCTGTTTGGCAGGAGTAGTCCGAGCCCTGGAAAGAGGCTGTGGGTGGGGGGCACGGGACACACTCCTCTGTCAGGCTCTCTGACCCGGACCCATACCAGCTGACATCTCCCTGCTGTCACTGTCCCGACAGACTCCCTCCCTGGCTCGCGAGCACACAGCTGCCCCTCCCGTAGGACACAAGGATATGTTTCCCTGACAGATCAGACCCGCTCCCCCGCACTGGCTCCGACACCCTCGCTGCCCCGGAGCTAGGTACTCAATCAGGGGAGGAAATGGACATCAGGCAACAATGGCAGCAACTGTCACCCAGCGGCCCCAGAAGTCTCTCCTCCCAACTAGTGAAATGGCTCCCTCTTCCCACCTCACAGAGCCCTAAGCTCCTGCCCGTTCACACTTCTGCACACCACCCCTCCGCACCAGCTACTCTATCAGTGACACTTTACATTCCTCCCCACAATCCCACCTGCCTATTCACACCCTGGCTCCCGCATTCTCCCTCTGAGCCCCTCCCATACCCTCTGGATAACAACACCCTTTTAAGCACACCCACACAATTGCCGGACTATTTCCTTCATTTTGCACCCCCCTTTTTTGCTGGCTGCCCAGCTGCCCAGCTTTACCCCGCCCCCTCCTGGAGTACACCCAGGGTCCTCTTACCGCACAATCCAGAACCCTCTCACTTGGATAAAAGCCCAACTCCTGGGTCCGAATTGACTTTACAAGGCTAGGAGACTGGCCTACCCATCTGCTTCTTTCCCTGGGCCTCAGTTTCTTCTGCCATTTTGGCTGGAAGAGAAGGGCAGGGAGGGGGCTGCTGAAGAGGACAGCAGAGGAGGAACCCACAGGATTGGGCTGAGAAACTTTAGCTTGCATAGTGCAGCCCCTTCACACAAGCCCAGTCACCTGATGGGTTGGTGGAGAAGTGACTCCTGACTTCTGGGCCCATGTGTACCCACCCACTAAGCCACTTCTCAGTTGCCTGGGGCTAGGATAGGGAACCAAGGAGAGAACGGAAAGGAAAGAGAGAAAAGAGGGGAGGGCAGCCAGCCCAGAGGACAAGGAAAGATGGGCTCCTTCTCTGGGCCTTTTCCTGGGAAAGGGGTTGGGAGGTGCCCCCTACGAGGGCCGTTTCCTGGATCTCACACCACAGTGGACCCTCCATCCCCTAAACTACTTCATCCCCCTAGTTCTCCTCAACAGACCCCTCCAAGGTTACCAGGATGCTGGTCCTGGTCTGCCTGGAGGGTGGGGCCTTTTCTCTGGCTCCCACATGTAGTCCAACACCTCCAGAGCTCTGCGATGACTCCCTGGCTCCCACACTTTTGGCTGATAGTTCTTAGCCACCAATCCTCTGACTACCTGGTGCATCTGCTCTGCTGAGCCCCCCACCGTCACTTGAGTGAGGTCAGACTGGAGAACACAGGCCAGGGACTGCAGGGCAGCTGGCTAAAGACACGCAGACACAGGTATGCTGCCTGTGTAGCCATGTTAGGGTGGCCATGCGCTTGCATGGGCTGAGTAAGTGTGTGTGCGTTCATGAGGGGGGCCTCAGTTCCCAGGGCCCAGGGATCTGGATGGAATTAGGGGCTGGCCGGGCAGGGGCCAGGATGGGGGGTGGGGGGGCTGCAGCAGGAAACGTGAGCTGCTCTCATTAGCTCCTCACGTGCTCAGCCGGATTTATAAACACAGGGGAAGACGGGATGTAAACAATCAGTGGGCAGCAGCCAGAGGCAGAGCTGGGGTGGGGGCGGGCTGGGGGCCAGGACTGGGGGAGGGGGCCCAGGACACAGCCCCAGTGGCCAGCTCCACCTGCACACCATGAGCCTGGAGGAGGATGGACGAGGGCTCCAGGGTGCCCACCGCACTTGCCCGCCCAGGGACAGAGACCAGCTGCAAGTTGTGCTGAGTCCTAGTGCTTACAGCTAAACCACAGGTGTTCTCGGCCCCAGGCGGCTTTCGGCTTTGCTGCCTAAGCTAGGGGACATCATGCCCAGCGTGGAAGCTGTTGTAACAGAGGGTAGAGCCCTGTCCGCTTTCTCCTCTCCTCATCTCTTCTCCCTCTGGATTTCTGAGGCTCCTTCCCTCTTTGTGGTTCTCTCCATGGGTCGGTCAGTCAGATCCTTCAGCTCTCCCCCCAACTCCCCAGCTTCAGTGACACAGTTACCTCAGAACTGAAATATTCCTGGAAACACCGGCCTCGTCTGGTTAATTTCACGAGCCGTTTTTCTGCCTGGATGACTTAGCTCTTGTTTTTCCAAAGGCTTCTCCCCCTGCTGTCCCTGAGTAGGGAATCAGCCCTCCCCAGGGATGTCCCACAGGACCCAGGAGGGAAGGGGAAAACAAGGCCCAGAGCTGGGTACCTGACCTCCACCCCACTACCCCCAGGCCCCACCATGGGCTAGGCAGAGCCCAGTCCCAAGACTCTGGCTAGCAGGGCTGCCCAGAGCAGGGTGGGGTAAAGAGGCACCTAGCTGTCAATTGCTGCTGGCTGGGACCCTCGACATTGCCACTAACTGTGAGAAGAGATCAGACTCAATCCTAAAAGCTACCTCAAGGCTGGAAGGTCTGCTGCCCAACTCAGCAGGTCTCCAGCCTCCGAAACTAACCCCACATTGTACCCATAGGATCTTGGGGTTGACCCAGCCAGATATCCAGGCTGAGGGTAGCCCGAGGCTTTGTGCAGAGAAAGGCCTGGAGTTGTCTTGGGATGTGTAGAACAGGGACTACAAAGGAACTCAGAGAGTCAACAAGAGCTAGGGATGGAAAAGAAGAATGAGGAAAGGAACATTCAGGAGGGAAGCCACAGGCTGCAGATGTGGAGAAGGAAAAAGGGAGCCTGTCTCCCCAGGGAGCAGTTATGTGCCTGATCCTGCCTTCTGTCCTAAAACACACGTGTGGGGCATGCATGCGCGCACGCGCACACACACATTCTCACACACACACCGCTCTTTAAACCAAGAGCCCTGCGCCCAAGAGGGCAGGGTCCTGAGACCAGTGGCTCCCTGCTCCTGTGCCCCATCAGTAAAGCCAGTCAGTCAGGCATCTGAAAGAGTCAAGACTGGCTGGTTGGGCCATTGCAAAAGTCCTCACCTGAGCCCTGTGCTCTGTAAGAGACATTCTATACAATTTGAATCCTAAACCCTGCCTAGTTTGTAGCCCTCTCAAAAACCCTGACCCAGCATTATGACTAACTCGAAACCTACCTAGTCTTAATTCGTACTTAACTCCACACTTATCCTAACTCTGAGTACAGTCAGATTGTTAAAACCCCTATCCAACTTATTTCTATCATAACAAGATATGTCATTATAGAAAATTTGCAAGTATATACTGTAAACTGGAAGAAAGAAACCACTCGTGATCTCACACCCACCCAAGCTTAAAGCCCAAACTAGCCCTCCTCGTAGTGACACTCCACACATCACCCCATCTGACATCTACATCAACAAACTGACAAACCTTTGCCCCAGCCAACCCTCTGCCTGCCCAGACCTAACCACATCCCCCAGCTGGACTCAAACCTCAACCACACTCAATCAGCCAAATCCCAATAAACCAACCTGAAACTTTAAAAGTAACCCAGTCCTTAAACCTAATCTAACCAATGCCAATTATAGCCTTACTCTATCCTAACCCTAATTGCCGTTGCCAGTCTCAACGCCCACTGAATCCTGGCCTAGTGCTCTTGACCTTGGGCCTCACCTAAAAGCTGGGAAAACCATGTTTCCCAACTGCCTACGTCTCACAGCACCGACCGCTGGCCTCTGGCATCCTGGGATGCCTGAACTCTCTGGCACCATCACCTGCCACACCCAGCTCATCAAATGCATCATAGTCTCTGTCTCTGTCTCTCTCCTGCTCACGCACTCGCCCTCACTGTCTTCACTGCAGGCTGATCAAAAGGCCTCATTCAGGTCAAACCCCATCCAACACCCTAGAGAAGAATGGGGCAAATCTCCATGCTGCAGCCAACCTGTCCGGGTGAATGCTAAATCTCCTTCAATCTAACTCTACCCTTTCCATACCCAGGAGTCATATCCCAGAATGTACTGACTACCCAAGCCAGCCTTGTGTCCTTCCACCTGCCCCTGGTGGTCTAATGCTACATCTTGCCTCTGACCCCAGTGGGCTGACCCTGTACCTTGCCTCTGACTCTCACTTGTGGCTGCCTCTCTTGCACCCCTCTCAGGGCTGACTTCTCTCAGCTTGAAACTCTTACATGTGCTGCTTTCCAACCACCACCACCACACCTCCCACCCCTGCTCCCCCTAAGCTGCAGTGGGACTGGGAGCGTGGGAGAGGATGGTGAGGTACAACCAGAGCCCAGGAATACTGATTCGCAGTCCCTAGGCCTGGCCCTGCCATGTACACACACGTATGTGTTGACACACAGACAATGACTCTGCTGACACACAGAAATACTCTCCCATATCTACTGGTAGACACACACACATAGGCCAAGTCCTCATCCTCAAACACAAACATGCCACCATACATACACTTTCTCAGGCCATGAATGCTCCCCTCCTCCATCACCCCTGCCTCCCATCTGGTGCCCCACCCTCACCCCACTCCCAGCCCAAGGTGGGGACAGACACCTGAGGGGCTGCCAGCTGCTTCCTTGACCAGACCAGGCCACCCTCACGCTCCCTGCCCATCTTGTCCACAGGGGACTCGTGGGGGATGCTAGCTTGCCTGTGCACTGTGCTCTGGCACCTCCCTGCAGTGCCAGCCCTCAACCGCACAGGGGACCCAGGGCCTGGCCCCTCCATCCAGAAAACCTATGACCTCACCCGCTACCTGGAGCACCAACTCCGCAGCTTGGCTGGGACCTATGTGAGTATCCAGGGCTCAGGCGCTGTGAGTTGGTTGAGGAATGAGGACTGGGGAAGAGAGACCAACTGGTAGGGTCCTGGTGAATGACTGGGTGATGGGGAGGGGCTTTGGCTCCAAGCAGTCTCCGTGTCTGGCCTATCTCCTGCCCTGCCCTCTTAGGGAAGGTGCCCCCTCCTCCCCATTCCTGGCCCCAGGACTAGGCATGTGGGCAGGCCTCGCACCCGCCTTGGCCCATTGCCCCACTGGCTGTCGGCCCAGCCGCCCGCCTCCCCCTGGGGGCCGGGGAAGTCTCCTCTGTTTACACCATGTTGTGGTGTCTCTTGCACGGGTGGGGCTGGGTGGGGATGGAGGGGCCTCACCTCCCATGCCTGTGTTCCAGCTCGCCTCTGCCCCAGACCTGGGGCCCTGCTGCTCCGGACCCATGGGCCTCCCTTCTGTCTGCCTCTCCCATCCTAGCTGGGCCTCCTAGGGGGGACCTGGGGGAAGGGGGCTGTGGGGAACCCAGGCCAGTAGTGGCAGGGGGTTCAGGGTGTGGATGGAAGTTAGGCTTTGGGGGCAGTCCAGAGGTGTTTGGAGCGCCCGGGAGAGAAGGAAGGAGGGTCAGAGCTGCTGAGGACCATGGGGAACTGGCCCCTCTTCCCGTGTTCCTCTTCCACATCCCAGACCCTACTTGGGAGCCAGGGAAGGAAAGGGGAGGAGGGTGGCGGGGGAGCTGGCTCCAGCCCCAGGATACACCGAGGAAATTAGTTTGTCTCTGTGCTTGTCAGCGTGTGAACCTCCCCCTGGGCCCTTGCCTATCCCAGGCCTCCCCCCTCTCTTCTCCCTTTCTCTCCCAGCTGAACTGTCTCCCTCACCCTTTCCCTGGGCCCCAGGCCCCTCCCGAGAGGGTTGGCAAGGCTCTGTCCTCTTCCCTAGACTGTCTTCCATACTCTTCCTCTTGCCCAACCCTTGAGATGGCCTCAGTTTATTCCTTCTGCACCTCTGAGCCCTTCTTGGGGGCGTTAGCAAGGACCTCTGTTCCCTGCCCTTCACCTGGGGGACTGGGCATGTCAAGGGAGCACATGGAGCTTGGATGCTCAAGGGCCCCCTGCCTTTCCACCCACTTCTCCCTCTCTGGTTTCCCCATCCAGGAAACCTTTGCTTGATTCTGCTACCCCCTCCAGCTCCTGACCCTTTTTCTCTCCTGGCTTTCCCTGCCAAATTTCTTGAAGGAGTGGTCTACACCCTCTGCCTCCACTTCCTCTCCACCCACTCACTCCTTAACCCCCTGCAATCTGGCTTCCAGGCCACTGAAACGGTTCTCTCCAAGGTCGTCAGGCACCTCCTTCTTGCCAAACCCAATGGTATTTTCTAAGGCTCTCTCTCCTCACTCTCTGTTTTGCAGCCACACTGTTGAGCACTGCTGCCTTCCTGAACTCCTCTTCTTGGCTCTGGACTCTCCTGTCCACCTTCACCTCTGCAGCCTGGCCTTCTGGGTCCTCGTGGCTCCTCTTCCTCTCTGCCCGGCCACGCCACCCACCCCCCACACCCGTGGCCTTCTCCCAAGACTTAACACACACAGCCAATCGGCATGTCTTTCCAGAGTTTCTCCTGCGTGCTTTTTGCTTTCTACACTTCTCCGTAGGAGAGCTCATCACCCCCATTGCTTCAACTGTCACCTCCATGCAAATGACATCTCTGGAGAAACAGGGGAGGCCCATGAACACAGAGGCCTAGTGTGGAGATGGGACCAGTGTCAGGGGACACAGGAAATAGAAGCTTTGGGGGAAAGTATCTCCTGGCAGGCGAACTGGCTCCTCCGCCCTCCTCCTTCCCCATTGCCCTCTCCTTTTCACAGCTGAACTACCTGGGCCCCCCTTTCAACGAGCCTGACTTCAACCCACCTCGGCTGGGGGCAGAGACTCTGCCCAGGGCCACTGTCAACCTGGATGTGTGGCGAAGCCTCAACGACAAACTACGGCTGACGCAGAACTACGAGGCCTACAGCCACCTCCTGTGCTACTTGCGTGGCCTCAACCGCCAGGCCGCCACAGCCGAGCTGCGTCGCAGCCTGGCTCACTTCTGCACCAGCCTCCAGGGCCTGCTGGGCAGCATCGCGGGCGTTATGGCAGCGCTCGGCTACCCGCTACCCCAGCCTCTGCCCGGGACCGAGCCCACCTGGGCCCCTGGCCCTGCCCACAGTGACTTCCTTCAAAAGATGGACGACTTCTGGCTGCTGAAGGAGCTGCAGACCTGGCTGTGGCGCTCAGCCAAGGACTTCAACCGGCTCAAGAAGAAGATGCAGACTCCAGCAGCTGCAGTCACCCTGCACCTGGAGGCCCATGGCTTCTGATCTCTGACCTTCTCTGTCCCCTCCCTCTTCAAACCCTGCTCCCACTCTGGGAGGGAGGAACATGTATGCCAACACTTGTTAAGCCAGGAGACAGAAGTCAAGAGCCTCTAGCCCTCCCTGGACTTGGAGGAGGGTGTGATGCAATAAAGCCCATCCCTCCCCACTTCCCAAAGTCCTACAGGTCTGGGGAAGAGGTGCAATAGGCCCATCCCATTTCCACAGGAAGTAATGCTCAAGGGAGCCTGAAGTGGTTCACGTTGGTGCAAAGGCTGTCATGGCTTCCTGCTTCCTGCCCACCACTTGCCAGTGTCCACCCAGACCCTCAAGTGGCACTTCCAGGAAGCGTGCCTGTCGGCAGGGAGGGGACCGCCATCACATGTGCCTTTCTGGGGTGAAGCTCTTCGGCTGCCCCACTCTCCTTAGGTGGGTGTTCCTCCCCTCCCCCCAAATAACTCAATACATCCAATTCAGGAAACAAACCCAGTAGCAAGTCCAAACAGAAAGAGATGGGATTAAAACTGAAACAGGTGGGGTCTGCATGGGAGGTAATACTGAAAGCAGAGAAGCAGGGACAGACTGGACCCAGGGGTCACCAAGGCAATCGGTGGCATAGGGTGGCAACCAAAAGGACATTGCCTTGAAATTTCTTGCCAGCTTCACGGCGCCTCCTCTCCGCCTCCTTTCCCAGGGTATCTGTGGGTTGCCCAGGCTGGGGAGGGCAACCATAGCCACAGCCACAGAATTTCCTGAAAGTTTACATTGCAGTAGCATTTCGGGGTGCGGGGGGCAGCTCCCCCAGGCCCTGCCCCCCAGCCCCGCCCACTCATGACTCTAAGTTTGTTGTATTAATATTTATTTATTTTGGAATGTTATTTATAGATGATATTTATTGC